GCGTACTGCGTTTCCACATACAGTGTATTATGTTGCAGGACACACAAGCATAAAGTCTTTCTATAATTATATTGGAATATTTAAGTTACTAAATATTGGGAAGAGACATGAACGGGTGCTCCACAAGATTGACAATGATGGTTCTGACATTGACATTGAAAGTAGTGATGGTGCTGAGAATGATGGGGACTACGGTGGTGGTTTGAGCGTCGCAATTTTAATTTTGCAGTTACTCAATGTCCCTCATGTAGGAGACTTGAACGACATACGCCTAAATCCTCATATTTGTGCTTATTGGGCAAATACGAGACATGTTCATGTGTGAGACTTGAGCTCGCAATTGAAGGCTTTGGTAGAAAGAGATGTCACGAATCTCCATTAAGAATTGTTTGTGAAATATCAGGGCAAGTAGCAATGGGCGGACTGGACGATTTATTGGTAGACTGCGATATCCAGCGTAATTCTACGACATGCGAGCGTGATCCCATTGGAGGTCGTGAGTTTTCATCGTCTCGGCGTATCCCCAACAGCGGAAGCTGCACAAAAGTGTCGTCTGACATACGAAATTGAACGCGTTTAATGTCGAGCACTTGGTGTCTTACCATGGTGATAATACCTATGGATGCGAGATTGCGTCATATTTGAGGGCTAATCTTTCTCTGGAGGGAAAGAATGATGGAGACGAGATTACGTTGACTTTTCTGGACAAGCATGATCGCTTGACGTCTTTTCTTTAATTATTTATTTCTTTTATTTTATTGATATTTATGGTATTTATTATTCTAGTATTTTATTTGATACAAAATTTATATATATGGATTTTATAGAAGGGTAAGTAGGTTTTTTATTAGGAGTCATACTTAAGACCCTAAGTCGTGGTTGATTTTGATTGATAAGAAAACATGAGAGTTCTATCTCAACTTTTACGTTCGTTAACACTTTCGCTACGTCAGCGGGCCAACCATGTAGGGTTGTTAATAAATTGAATCGAAGCGAATACTCAATTATTCGATTCATGATTCGTATTCTGTTCACCACCAAATTTAATTTGTGATTCGTATCATTCCAATTTCGTTTTAAGAGATTATTTATAATATATAACTATATTTATATATTTTGTAAATATAGTTTTAAATGTAATATTATTTTTAAATGTCAGTATATCTTTGGAATTTATCCCAATCCCTAGTAAACTTCGGATAAGATTAGTTAAGAACATTCACAATACTTTTGATTAATCCCAACAAATTGTATGCCAATATATTCCCCAATACACATAAAAATAGATGGGATCCTGCTGATATGACAACTACAAAAAAGAGATCTTGTCTTCTCCTAAGTCTATTTTAGACCAAGTAGAGACATATTGAAGTGAATTTTGTTAATTTTACGTGGTTTCATCCATTTCATCGACTTTTATTTACATGCCACCCAATGCATTTTAAATGCTTGGAATGTTATCCAACCTATAAGTTAAAGAGTAAAATCGATTATGATTATGATTAGGGTTTTGTTCACAGTTCCCTCTCATTCCCACCCGTTCTCCTTCATCCCGGCACTCACGCTTCAGCTCTCATTAACAGTTCACTTCTCACGCCATTTCTTCTTCATCCATCTCAGCCGCCCCGCCTCGCCTCGCCTCGCCTCGCCTCAGCGCCTACACCTCATTCTCCTTCCGTCGCCGCAGCTTTACGACCCCACAACCTCGCCTCAGTCGCAGCTTCCTACTCGACTCTCGCTCCAGAGGTAATTGGTTTTTCATTGGAGATTATGAATTAGCTTGATTAGAAATTCAATTGAAATTAGGCATGTTCTTCACGTCATCTGCCGAGGTTAATAGGTTCATGGTTTAGATTTGCTATCATAAAATATCAAATATCTTTTTTTTATCACAATATGCAGATAATAGCTTGATGATTTAGATTTTCTATTATAAAATATCAGTTTCCATAAGACAAAATGCGGATAATCTCATTGATGAGTCCGCGTAGTTTGATTGTTGTGACTTTTGTTTAGTATTCAAGCTATCTGCATTGTTCAGTTACTTGATACTCTGTTTTTGTTTTTCATATTTGTGGCCCGCCCTGAACCAGGCCAGGTCGCGACCCGACCTGTTGAAGCCGTCGCGGGTCACGGGTCACGGGCCAGGTCGGGTCGGTGGGGGCAAGTGTGCGGTGTAGGTCCAGGTATGTAACTACACGGTCCGACCTGGCCCTATTGCCATCCCTAATTATTATCTGGCTTGAACACTTCTTTTAAAATAGTTTTAGTAAATTATAGATGCAAATGATTTTTCACAAATAGTATATATATATTTATATATATATATAAGTTAATTTTACATTAAAGTGCTTTGAAAGTGTATATTTCTTTTTGTGTGTTGGTGCTTCAATTGTTTCTTCATTTTGATATTTCTTTAGTAGTTTGGCCCAGAGGTGATTGGTGGGGTGTTTGTATAAGTAGCGTAAATTTTTGTGGAAACATATTATGGTGGGGTGTTTGTATAAGTAGCGTAAATTTTTGTGGAAACATATTATGGGTTTGAGGTTCTTTCTTCTGATTCTGTTGTAACCTGTTGCTCTCTCAACCTGTCTCTCACCCTGTCTGGTGAATTGATTTCTTTGAGTCCATTTGTTCTTACTTCTAGCTCACACCTAAATTATGTGATAAATGCCTTTTCTAGACACGATTTTTTTTTAATGTCATAGGAGTTATTGCTTGAGCTTGACCTTCAGTAATTCTGTTCAGTTGTAAATAAAAGTAATTATGGGAAAATTTGAGAAAAAGAGACAGATTTTTTAATGTGGATATGAAAATAAGATAATGGTTGTTGCATAGTCTTTATTCGTGTGCTAATGATTATATGTGGTTGATTATTTGTTATATAGACAATATGGGTTAAAAAAAAGGCAGGCCGCAGGGGTGAGGCGGGACATCCTGTGCCCCGTTACAGGCCAGGTCTCAGGCCGAACCTGCTGGGCCCGTCGTTGTTCACGGGCTAGGTCGGGTCCGTGGGCAGGTGTGCGGGCCAGGTCCGTGTCTGTAACTACCCGGTCCAACCCTCACCCATTGCCATCCCTAGACTCAACACGTTCTAAATTTATATATAAGAAGATGTTTTTTTTTTAAAACAGTATTTATGAAAAGAAATCTTCTTTAAAAGTGTTATTTCTAAGAACCTGCAATGATATTTAGTATGTTTTAGGATATTGTAAAAAATATTGCTTTTATATTTAGTATGTTTTAAAATATTGTACAAAATAATATTGTAAGTTTCTTATAGCGTTGCCTTTTCGTTTATTTTTTGTTTTACTATAAAACATCTGCATAAATAATTATATGCTTCTAAAGCCGAGTCTTAAAAAAATTGGAAGACAAATCAATCCCATCAAATTTCGTGATATAAGCATTGAAAATAATTATATATTATCATCTTCCATGAACACTTCTTTTAAAATAATTTCAGTAAAATATATATATAAATAATATTAGGATATATATATTGGACAATACCGTATTTTACATTTAACAATCTGTTGCAGAGTGCAGGCGAGTAAAGCGAATAACATGTCGGCTGAGGACGAAAACCCAAACAAAGCATTGACAACCACCAGATTCTCCGACTTAAACCCTCCACTCTCCGAAGCGGTTCTCGAAACACTAACCTTGTCCAGTTTCGAGTTCTGCACCCCTGTTCAGGCCGCCACCATACCCTTGCTATGCAACTTCAAGGACGTTGCTGTGGACGCCGCCACTGGCTCCGGGAAAACCCTAGCCTTTGTAATCCCCCTCGTCGAGATTCTCCGCCGCCAAGGCCCCCCCAAGCCACACCAGGTATCTAATTAGCTCCAATGTACCTAATTAACTCAAATGCATAGCTTACTTTTTGATCAATTCATATGTGATTTGAGGTGGACGGAGTGTTTATAACAACATAATAATCTTTAATTTGTTTATCTAATTCTCTTTATTAATGATTTTTGGCTGTTTGTCCAATTCTAACATTTGCATAAGGGTAATACTTGTTATGTTTATAGCTGGTGGTTATATTGTTGTTTTGATTAATTGCAGGTAATGGGGATGATAATTTCTCCTACAAGGGAGTTGGCATCTCAGATATTTAAGGTGGCAGAGCCATTTATTTCGACATTATCGAAAGTGAGGCCGATACTTTTAGTGGGAGGAGCTGAAGTGAAAGCTGATATGGTTAAAATAGAAGAGGAAGGGGCGAATTTGTTGATAGGGACGCCTGGTAGATTGAATGATATTATGGAGCGATTTGAGGCACTGGATTTCCGCAGCTTGGAGGTTTTTCTTTCGTTTTCCTTGTTTTTGTTTATTAGGGAAAAATTATCGTTAGTGTTCAATGTGGATATTTCGAATATGAAGGCAATCCGTGATTTAGGTTAGTTAATTCATAATCTTGTTTAGATCAAAGTTTCATGCGGAATGTGCTCGTTGGTTTTCTGAATACCGATACATTGGTATCTGAGACCTGCCATAATATCGAAATGCTGGTGTTTAGGTTATATTCGATTCTCTTCAATTTGGAGGGCTTTCAGAGGGAGAGGGGGTTCAAATTAGCTGTTATCTTGAAAGACTGAATGCATTATGATATTAATTAAGCCCCCCTCCCCTCCTCCTCCCGCCCAAATGACGAATACATCATTTATCTAGTTAATGAACTAAGTGACTATTTTTTTATTATCTTAGTTTCTTTTGTTTGTGCATCTATTTATTTTCGTATTCATACGTTTGTTTAAACAATTTTTTTTTTTTTGGCAAATCTGTTATCTTATCCTAAAATAAAAATAAATATCTTAGAGTATGAAGATTATTAATGTGGTTAGTAATTTCTTACAATTAACTCATTGTGGTTGATGTTTGTGAGATATATTATCCTCATCCTGATTTATCATGCGATATTCTATGGCAGGTTTCACAAATCCCATGGCATTTGAATTTTATACCGTTTAAAATGGTTTCTTTTGGTGGAACAGATTTTGATTCTAGATGAAGCCGATAGACTACTGGATATGGGATTCCAAAAGCAGATCAATGCTATCATATCACGCCTGCCAAAGCAAAGAAGAACAGGTCTTTTTTCAGCCACTCAAACTGAGGCAGTTGAGGAGCTATCCAAAGCAGGATTAAGGAATCCAGTGAGGGTCGAAGTTCGAGCTGAATCAAAGAGACTTAAGCATGTAACATCTTCAGAACTAATTGCCCCTTCCAAAACTCCTTCACAACTTAGAATCGAGGTATATTCTCAGTCTGCTGGTTGCGCCAAAATTTTCGGTGCTATCTCTAATTTGGATATCGTATTTGGGAGGTGTTTGGCTGAGATTATTAAAAGAGATCAATAGAGATCCCACATATTACAAGATGCTTTGAAGCTTGGACTATGTTATATCTTATATGGAGATAGGTTGTTAAGAGTATTTTGATAAAATATTATGGTGGGATTTATGAGATGTTACTGACATATGCTAACTAAAATAGTTACAGAAATGTGTTTGCTTTTAATTTTTATCAATTTTTCTGAAGAAGACCATTTTTAATTAAAAGATTACTTCTCTGAAGACAGCTTTTCTAAACGGCATTTTGAGGATCCTGTAAAATTTTGCGTCATTTTGAAGTTTTATAAGTTCTCAAGTAGCTTGTGAGAATATTCGGAGAGCTTATAAGCTGTGTGAAGTAACCTCTTACTTCAAGATTCAGGGGCTGCATGATACTTAATCAAATAAATCTGACTTTCTGTTCTATAAAGAAAAAAGGGAAAAAAGAAACAACAACAACAACAACAACAAAGCCTTTTAGTCCCAAACAAGTTGGGGTGGAAAAAAGAAACAATAAAAGAAAAAGAGGAGAACTGATCTTTGAACTTGGTTTTTGGTTGTTTGAATCAACAGTATCTTGAATGTGAAGCAGACAAGAAACCTTTACAGCTCATTGATCTCCTCACTAGGAACAGGGCTCAGAAAATAATAATGTGAGTTTGAATCCGAAAATCTATCATTTTCGCACACTGAAAGTGCTTTTTTATTTTTCTATAGAGTATGAGTTGGGCTGCTTGAAGTTCTCAATAAAATACGCGCAACTTTCTTTTTCCTGTAGCTATTTCATGACTTGTGCATGTGTTGATTACTGGGGAGCTGTTCTTCCACTTCTACCTGCTTTGAAGGGTTTCTCTCTGATCTCCCTTCATGGGCAGATGAAACAGGTATTTTTTTTAAAAAAAAATTTATGAACCTCAAGGTAGTTTAAGTTTAGAGACATGTTATGTCAAGCGCATGTGCTGAGGACTTATTTTGCTTATGCAGAAAGTTAGGGAAAAGGCATTGGCCTTATTTACGTCTCTATCAAGTGGCGTTCTTCTTTGCACTGATGTGGCCGCTCGTGGGCTTGACATTCCTGGCGTTGACTGTGTATTACAGGTAGCTAATAATCAATTTCATTTTTGGAATGCTCTCCTCTCTTTGCCTGAGCTGGGAGCACAATAACTAGGTTTTTTTTGCCTAATGACGCTAATGCATGTTGCATGTTTTAGTCGAGTGTTTGAAGAATGACCATTGAATTATATAACTTATTTAATGTTGTTTTTACACTATCCATCCACCTTTGATTAGAGAATCTGGAAGAATATAGAAACTTCTTTCTGATCATCTGACCTAAGAATGCTTCTGTCAGATGGTCATACTTCTCAACAAGAAGTCGTGCTCTTTGGAAAGTTATAAAAGTATCACAGTTCACCTGAAAAGTATAAACTGTCATTTAGTCATTGTTCAGAGAGAAAAATATGTCCAAACTATTCTGTTCTGGAAAAAGTAAAGTTACCATCTGACAAGAAAAAGTCATTTAGTTATTGAAAATCAGGTTTATCGGTTGATAGCTGAGAAGAAAAATAAAGTTACCGTCAAAGTTAAACTTTCTTTCTTCTTTCAGTCATTGTGTGTATATATATATTTTTTTTTGTGGTAAGCAAAGCCATTTGTCATAGCTATCATTGATCTATATATTTTATGCATAAGTAGAAATGATCTTGAAATGCTAAAAATAATTGTTTGATTGTTTTTTAATATGCAGTATGATCCCCCACAGGACCCCACAATGTTTGTACACAGAGTTGGTCGAACTGCAAGGATGGGACGTCAAGGATGTGCAGTTGTCTTTCTCATGCCACAGGTTTGGTTCTACAGAACAGTTTAATGCTGATTTAGAGATTATTTGATTGTTCTAGAATAAATGTGCATTCTTGAATGTAATAATCTCTTATTTATAATAAACAGGAGATAGAGTACGTAGAGTATCTCAGGAGAAAGAGAGTTCCAATGGAAGAGAGAAAATGCACCGATGAGGCTCCTGATATAATTCCCCAGGTAAAGCACCTTTACTGCTAATATTTATTCAATATACAATGGAGCCCAAAAAAAAAAAAGTAAATCAGTCAGGAAGCTTGAGAGTGCATGCGGTCCTTGCAAATCCATGGTTTCGTGTAATTTGACCTATTTAGGAATAAGGGAAGGTACTCTCACTTATGTAACTTGCTCATGTTTTCCAGATACGTTCGGCTGCCAAAAAGGACCGTGATATTATGGAGAAAGGACTCAGGGCTCTTGTATCTTACGTCCGTGCTTACAAAGAGCATCTTTGTAATTATATTTTTAGGTAGTAAACTTTTTTTTTTTTAAATCTCGTTACCCAGTCTCTGGTTTTGATAAAGTTGCCTTTATTTGCAGTTGGAAAAAACTCGAAATTGGGAAGTTGGGCATGGGATTTGGTATATTGCAGCTCCCTTCGATGCCCGAAGTAAAGCACCACTCTCTTTCTACTGCAGGTTTTATTCCATGTGAAGATATAAAACTCGATGATATCAAGTACAAGTAAGGATCCTTTGTCAAAAGTTGTCAAAACATTACTTCGTGTTGAGATTCTTCTCCATTTCTTGCTCTTGCACTTCCAAAGCAAACTTTCGCAGTTGAGTTGCATCATTTGTGTTAGTCATTTGCCTTATTATATCTCATTGATGTACATGAATTGCTTTTAGAATCTCTTCAGAAAGAGCTGCTTTAGGGATCATGATCGTGTTTAATATTGTAGATTTAATTCTCCTTCCTATATAACATAACAAATTTATAACATCATACGTGATCTTACGAAGAAAAAAGTGGATTGCAGTGCATGTAACATGACAATTTGAAGGGTTTATTACAAAAGAGAAATACAAACCAACAATCTAAAATTTTCTAAATTGCCCTCTGTTTCTATTTTACATTTTGAGCTGCAGACTTAAAACTGGGGTATTTTTGTGAACAATAAATTTAAAATAAATAAAGAAAGAAAGTTAGACCAGCTTGGAATAGTAGGTTTCCTTATTTTCCCTGAATGAAAGCACTGGTTTGCATTTTTTGGTTATTTGTATTTGTATAAACCATTGAATAAATAACTGTGCAATTATAGATCATACCCTTCTCATGCATATATGCTAGCTAATGCTTGTTTATTTGATTTCAAAATTATTATATCGAATATCCAGGGACAAATCCCGAGAGAAACAAAGAAAGAAGAAACTGCAGGCGAAACAAGCTGCAGAACAGCAAAAGCCACACAGGCCTGAAAAAGCGGCACCAAAATCAAATGCCTCAAAAACAGTCATGAGAAAACAAACTGCCCGTCAGAGACGTGCGGTTCAATCGACAGAAGATGCTGACGAGCTGGACCGGGAGTACCGTCTGCTGAAAAAGCTGAAAAAGGGAAGAATTGATGAAAATGAATTTGCGAAATTAACTGGGACAGAAGATTTGCTTTGACACTTGCTTGTTCAGAAATCTGAAAGGGAAGTTAGATATTTTAGTTGCAACATAGAAAGCTGGTTGATATTTGATGTGAATCATATATGCGCAAAGTTGGGTTGGAATTGTAATATGTTGATATCATTGTTTATTTACTTTTGTTGAGTTGTGCAATTTTGAGAAATATGTAAAATGAATTCCACATGATATAATGAAACGCAAATTTGACCCTATTGTAATACTAATATCAGATTGCTTCTTACGGATATGAAAGAGCAAAATAATGAGAATGATGGGTCGGGACCTAAATTTGAGGTGAACCGGGTACTGCAGAGCTCCGATCTTCTAAAAACAACTGATTACTTGCAAAGTAAAGGGTCTGGAGAGTCTCCCGGTGTACCTCATCCATTTATAAGGAAATACTTGTTGTTCGGTTGTCGCGGTCAGCCTGTCTGACTGTTCGAGTCTTGATCTTATTTGCTGAGTGTTCATCCTTATTTTAGTTAGATTCCTTCTTATCTCAATCAAGTCCATGCTTACCACAATCTTCACGCTCATAGGCTCCGCATTGATTAGTTCGACTTACTGAATACCAAATAAGTCTTCTTTACAGTTGAGCTAGATCACACTCTAGCTCGTTATCTTAGGCGCATTAGCTTGGTCCCCCTAGCTTGGGTGAATTACCTCGTTGCCTTATGTAGATTAGCTCGACTGCACCAATAGGCCTTCCTCATCAATTAACTTGACCTCAATTACCCCTGTGTAGCTCGACCTGCTCCATTTAAACTGTTTGAGGTGGATATTAATTAAACCGGCTGAACTTTGAGGTTTTTTAATTAATGAAGTCGCAGCTCCGGTTCAACTGAGCTATGATCTATATCAGATAACAAGAGAAAAAACAAAAGAACGTAATGTGGCATCTTTACTTATCATTTAAACAATATATCTAGAATTACAATGTATATTAACTTAATGAGTTGATAATACATAGAAAGTTTATATTTTTTATCATGTTTACAAATCAATTATCTACAATATTTTTTACAATATTCCCCTCAAACATATAATGTCCATGATGCCCACATCATGGACGTATTAGAGTGCCTAATCATGTGATCAGTATACTATTAATATTTATGCTTATTCATTAGTCTATCGTATTATATCGTCTAATCGTGCGACCAACTCGAATCCTGTCGAGGTAGAATGTTGTACATGCTGAACTTACGTATTGTCCTTCTGGTCGACCACCTGACCAGCCATACTTCCAGGTCGAGTTTCCACCAAGCCATTCGAGGGCCCTAGCTCGACCTGTAGGTGCCTTTTAAAGCCTCTAATGCATTCCTTGATCTGTGGGCTCATTGTTCTGTACCGGTTCGACCTACATGTCCTCATGCTCGACCAGCCGGTACAACCGGCTTGGTCAGTTGGTATGATGGGTATGTTCTACCTGTTGTGTTATCCTATATCAGTCGTGGCTTGATGTGATTATATAGTGTTGGTATTCATGAGGGGTGTATAGATTAGACTTCACTTGTTCCGATTCACCTACTTAGTTTGGGATAATGAGTACGAAAAACCAATTTAAGAGACTTAGAGAAACCCTTCAAAGATAAACCTAGATAATAATCCTTCGAAAACTCATATTGGCTCACTGTGTAGTAGCTATTTTACGTAGCCGAAGATAAGAGATGGTCGAAATTAGCAGAGGCCCAATATGAATTGCCAATGGGATTATGGGAAGGGAAATATAGGCCCGCTTTTCACAAGCTAACTCCCCACTCCCTAGCTAAGAGCCTCCCCAGTGTTGCCCTACCTCTAGCTTTTATCACTAGAGTAGTGCAAAAAAATTAGTACAATATGGTGCTAGAATCCTGCGTTGGAGTAGAGAATTGAACAGTGGTGCGCCACATTTGGCGTAACACTGTAGCAACGCTACATCTTTTTTTTAATGCATTTCAATGTAATATTAATGATAAATTTAGTATAATGTGTATTAGTAAATATTTTTTTATGCTAAATAATTTTATGTGCTTTTTATTTATTGGTGTATTAGAATTTTAATTTGTAATTAAAATGATACCTTGTGAATAAAAATATAACACAATCAAACAAGTAGATTTCATTAAAATCAATAGTTTACAACACACGTAAATCAAAAAATACACAAATAAAAAATCAATAGTTTACAACACGCGTAAATCAGAAAATACACAAATAAAAACAAACATAATATTAAAATCAAATTATTACAACACACACATAAATTACAAAATATACTAATATTGTAATCATTGTTTGTAATGGTTTTAAAATTTTCATCATATTATGTAATCTATACTTCTATTGTCTTGAATTTATCAAGTGTTCTCGTGTTGTTATACGTAAACACGTGGTTGTTTCTGTTACTTCGGAATCCCTAGCCCCAAACATCTGGGCTTGCTCGTTTGAAGCTTTTCCGGGTTCGTTTGGGGGTAATATATTTGATCCATACCTTTTTATCTTGTTCTATTGATAATGGGTATCTCATCAAGGACTTTTTCCAACTGTTGGGTCGCTAAATTTCGTTTCTTTTTGCCTTTTGCGATCTATTAAATTGGTTGGTTTTGTGTGTAGCAAGTTAAATTACCAGCAAGCAATCTTGATTCAAGACTCCGTGATTAGCAATGTAGTTCGGATTTGTGGTGAGTTCTTT